TTCAATGGGTGCTTGTTTCCTGACCTTGCCTTCAAATTCAGAGGGTGTAGATTCTTGATTATGGCCCCCAAATGAGCGGCGACTTCTTTCATGCTACTAAAAGGAAGCTTCTGCTTTCATCTTAGTTCCATTTTCCTTGGGTGACACCAGACAAGGGAGTTAGCAGTTTTCACATCTAATGTTATCTATCTATAATATAACAGTGGGCTTTATTGTTCCAAACTGCTGTTGAAAGACACAACCACTACTGAGCCATTACCTATATATATTTTTATCACTCACTATTCATTATAATGCCTTTGTGTTCTGTCTGCGTTATCAGAGGCAACTAGTATTTATTAGGTATCCCCTGGATGTGTGATGTTGTGGGAGGTGCTGCCAAGGGCACTTGTTTAGAATGAAGCATTACATGGGAGGAAGGTGACAATTTTTCTTTATAGGGAGTGCACCACTCTACCTTTCACTGTAGTTTTGGCCACCAGGTTGGTCAAATTATTCATTTTGTCCCTTGGACTCTGTTAGGATTTCCTAGAAATGTGAGTGTGTTTGTCATGTGTTTTAGATGGGCTCACTGCAATATGGCCTTTGCATGAATACAATAAGAAAAGATAGTCCCTTCCATTATATATAAAATGTGTGTGTGTATTTATATCTCAAGTGCCATAAGAACTTCTGCTTTCACTTCAGTATGTATGCTGTGGAGCTGGGTTAATTTAATAGAAGACTTATAAATATTTCTAGACCCATTTCCCCAAATAAACTTAGCTGACCGGGGCGCCTGGGTGGCTCAGTCGTTAAGCGTCTGCCTTCGGCTCAGGTCATGATCCCAGGGTCCTGGGATCGAGCCCCACATAGGGCTCCCTGCTCCGCGGGAAGCCTGCTTCTCCCTCCCCCACTCCCCCTGCTTGTGTTCCCTCTGTCGCTGTGTCTCTCTCTGTCAAATAAATGAATAAAATCTTAAAAAAAAACAAAAACAAAAACAAAACTTAGCTGACCTTATTCCACATCATATCCTGGAATTTCTGGTGAGTACTTAATGTTCCCTTCCTGGAGTAGTTTCTGACTTCTTGGCGTCTGATTAGTATAGAATCCGAGCTCCCAATTTTCTTCATCTTTGGATTCATCAACCATCTCAAGTCTCACAGTGTATATGTAGCTGCAGTAATCACCCTCTTGGTATAGTGGGTCTGAGCTATCTGTCCATTTTGGCATACATAGTACTCCCTTTGATCCTACTGTCTCTTGGTCTCTGGGGTACCTGCCATTGAATCATAGAGTCCTGCTAGATACTGACAAGTGGCAAATCTGACATGATCTTTTTGAAGTTTTGGATGATTCTTTTATTATGAGAATGATGATGGTTTGAGTTATGACTTGTTTCTTTTTTTTTTTTTTAAGATTTTTTTTTTATTCTTATGTTAATCCCCATACATTACATCATTAGTTTTAGATGAAGTGTTCCATGATTCATTGTTCGTGCATAACACCCAGTGCTCCATGCAGAACGTGCCCTCCTCAATACCCACCACCAGGCTAACCCATCCTCCCACCCCCCTCCCCTCTAGAACCCTCAGTTTGTTTTTCAGAGTCCATCGTCTCTCATGGTTCGTCTCCCCCTCTGATTTCCCCCGCTTCATTCTTCCCCTCCCGCTACCTTCTTCTTCTTCTTTTTTTTCTTAACATATATTGCATTATTTGTTTCAGAGGTACAGATCTGAGATTCAACAGTCTTGCACAATTCACAGCGCTTACCAGAGCACATACCCTCCCCAGTGTCTATCACCCAGTCACCCCATCCCTCCCACCCCACCCCCCACTCCAGCAACCCTCAGTTTGTTTCCTGCGATTAAGAATTCCTCATATCAGTGAGGTCATATGATACATGTCTTTCTCTGTTTGACTTATTTCACTCAACATAATACCCTCCAGTTCCATCCACGTCGTTGCAAATGGCAAGATCTCATTCCTTTTGATGGCTGCATAATATTCCATTGTATATATATACCACATCTTCTTTATCCATTCATCTGTTGATGGACATCTTGGCTCTTTCCACAGTTGGCTATTGTGGACATTGCTGCTATAAATATCGGGTGCACGTACCCCTTCGAATCCCTACTTTTGTATCTTTGGGGTAAATACCCAGTAGTGCAATTGCTGGATCATAGGGTAGCTCTATTTTCAACTTTTTGAGGAACCTTGCATTCCAGAGTGGCTGCACAAGCTTGCATTCCCACCAACAGTGTAGGAGGGTTCCCCTTTCTCCGCATCCTCGCCAACATCTGTCGTTTCCTGACTTGTTAATTTTAGCCATTCTGACTGGTGTGAGGTGGTATCTCATTGAGGTTTTGATTTGGATTTCCCTGATGCCGAGCGATATTGAGCATTTTTTCATGTGTCTGTTGGCCATTTGGATGTCTTCTTTGGAGAAATGTCTGTTTATGTCTTCTGCCCATTTCTTGATTGGATTCTTTGTTCTTTGGGTGTTGAGTTTGATGAGTTCTTTATAGATTTTGGGTACTAGCCCTTTATCTGATATGTCATTTGCAAATATCTTCTCCCATCCTGGAGTTATGACTTGTTTCTTGTTTTCTACCTAAAGTTCCTTAGCAGAGCTAAAATCAATCCTGGTGTGATCACTGGTCATACGAAGTAGAGAGTTGCATGATATTTTTTTGGACACCAAGAGGGACTCATTTTATCAAACACAGAAGCAAGCTAACCCATTAAACAAGGCATTTCAGTGCAATGGAATGTACTGGATAGTCATCATTATTAATAAAAATATTGATAAAAATTTTAATGCATGCAATCTTATCATTTTACATAATAGCCAGGTATTTATTAGGCTTTAACTTGCATGATGTGGTATGTTTTCCATGTGTGTCCTTTTATTCAACCTAGGCAAAGTAGATACCATCGCCTTGTGGGGAGTCATCATGGGGTATTGGAGAACCAGACAAACCTGGTTTGGCTTCCACTGCAACTACTCTAATCACCCAGTAGTACATGCAAGCAACTTACATGCAAGCAAACAACTTGAGGATTGTATCATTTGGGTTCCAGTCAGGAGGCTGAACCATACGAATTATGTTAACAGAGAATTTAATAGTAAGAATTGTTAACCAAGTGTTAGAGAAATGAAAAGGTTAAAAACGAACACCTAGGTATCATGGCGGTGGTGATACAGGAAGAAGCTACCATCCTTCAGCTAGGGAAACAAGAGAAAGAAGATGGAATTATTAAAACTTAGAAGATTGGAGGAAAGACCTCACAGGGCCAGGACGCAGATCTCTGAGGAGGGTGTGCTGGCTGGGCTGGTGTCACTGAAGAGCTGCTTCTACGAGTTTTAGAAAACCTGTACACTTTCCTCACTGTTGCTACTGGAGTGAAAACTGCTACTGTGAGCGGGAATGAGCTGCTGCGGCCAGAGCTGGGAGGTGGTGTTGCTGGGGTGAAGCAGACAAGAACAGGGAATAAAAGCAGGAAGGCGCGAATCCTTCCTCCGGCCGGCTTGCGGTCTCTCTGACGCCCCCTAGTGACAGAGCCTAACAGGGAGCAGCAGGCTCTGTCTGTGGTCTGCAGAGTCCCAGGCCCACCCAGCCCCACGGAGCAGAGTGGAGCAGAGAAGGCTGGTGCCAGATGGAGAAACAATCGTTTCATAGCCAGCACGGGCTTGATGTTGCCTCCCCAATGGGTTATTTTAATCATTGTTGATATTGAAATTTATGTAAAGAATCAAGTATGATGACTAGTTCATAGTAAGGGCTAAAACTCCTCCGTTCTTTTCAATTCTTACTGCTTTACAAAGTCTTCCACCAGCCTAGTTCTTAAAGCTTGTCAGTTACCCTTTGATACTCTGATTCCTCTGTTTTGACCCCAACCCCCACCATAGTAGCATTTTATGTGTGGATCAGTGGAATTGGCTCTGGAATTCATTGGTTATTAGCTGTGGCCTTTGGGCAAGTTAATTAAGTTCTCCAAGCCTAAATTTACATTATATGAGATAACACATGGACCATGCGTAATTCAAAGCCTTGCAAATAAGTGTTTAAACATGTTAGCTGCCATTATTGTCATCCTCATCATCACTGTCATCATTTCATGTGTATGGAGAAGGAGCAACAAAATAAGCCTCAACCTAAGATACAACATCTGAGAAGCCAGCTCTCTCCCAAATCACCACTGATTACCTTTATCTCTGAAACCTAACCATTCTAATGAAAAAGAAACAGTTTTCCTCTTCAGCCATCTACCTCATTTTTGGTTCTTTAGAAAATTTCTATTTTTCTAATTTTTGATATTCTGAAAGAAGCCAGCATTACCAATTCTGTTTTGTATTAGAGGCCATTGAGACCTGAGATTCTTTGAGACTTTCCCTGAGTCATGCATGTGTTTGTAATAAAGCCTGGAAGGGATTCAAAAATCCATCATGCCACTATCAGGGACTCTTGAATTCTGAAGCATTCCTGGCTCCCACTTGCTCAGGGATATGGAGACTGTCAGTAGAAATTCAGAACGAGTGTTCTGCATGGTAATGCGGTACATCACTGCTAGGTCCTGAGGCAAGCTGAGGACATCCTGAATTTTATGCATTATGCATGAGAGGGTGTAAGAAATAAAGGATCAATCATCTTCTCCCTCAGATAACATTGATCATTTGCTACACATTATTTGGCTGGGCTCTGTGCAGATTTATTTTCTCCAATGAGAACGAGAAGCAGATTGCCTGTTTTCTTAATGAGCAATGACATCAATCTAGCCAAATCTATCTAATGCACTGGATGACTCTCTCTCTCTTTCTCTCTCTCTCTCTGCCCCCCTCTCTGCCATAGTTAGAAGAAATGGGGACAGCTTCTGAAGACCGTGCCAGCTCCTGTGAGGGTGGTGACAGAGTGGGAAAATTGGGTCTAATTCAGGGTGATGAAGAGTCTCTTTCTCTCCCTTTACTTTTTTCTCTCTTTAATTTAAAGCTGTGTTTTCGCTCTTCATTTTTCCAGATGGCATATTCTGAGGGGCTGATCTGCAGAAAAGGCCAAGTGAAAAGTCACCCAATAATGAGAAAGGAGAAAGATGGCATGTGAAATGCGTGACTCCGTAGTGATGCTAGGACTCTGAGCAGGCTGGAACAGCACAATCACCAGGAAAAATAACAAATACCAATCAGAGAATGTTATTATAGGCACTCCCGCCAACACGAATGACTCTCAATAACATTGGAATCAACACGTGGCGCCATGAGCAATTGGAGTTGAAACTTCTATTGATACGGTATTCCCCTCATTGTGCTAGCCATTGGCAGTAAATGGGCAGGTGTCGGAGGTAATGGTGTGACTAAAGTTTTGAGGGGAGAGTGGGATGATGTTTTGCCAGGCACTTTCCCTCCTTCAGTCAGACAAGTGTCCACTGAGGGAGGTGGGGGCTTTGGGACATTGATTGGATGAGGTTGGGCAATTTGGGATTTGGTGGAGTAGACTACTGATGGCAGATCAGGGCTGGCCTGGAGTCCTGGCAGGAATGGCCCCACTGGAGGCTGTTTGCAGGGAAGCACCATGCCTATGGGAGAGCATACATCACAGGCCCCTGGCCTGACAGACGGTAGGGCAAGAGGGATCCCAACAGAGGAGGAGAATATGTTACTAAGTGGAGGGAGGAGAGGGATAGGGCAACTTCCAGGAGATCCTGCCAATAAACGGCGGTGGTTCAGGTCCCAGAAGGAAGAAAAGAGGCTCTTGTGAGAACAAGGCAAGAAGTACATCCCAGGCAAAGGCCAGAGTGGTGGGACACAAGGCTTCCCACATCAGAAATTTCCCACTTACACTGCAGTGTACCCACCTCCACTGTCTCAAAGTCACAGAGAAAGAAATGGGTTTGAAACTGTAGGAAGCTAATTAATCATGAACTGTGATAGCACAGGGAATCAGTGATGTAAATTGTGAAACCTAAGTCCTGCTTCTGTTATTTTTCACCCTGCAGAAATGGAAATATGGGAGAATTTTTACCCAGCTAAAATTTAAGAAGAAGACTGGGGGAGGGGGTATTGCATGGAGTGTCATGCCTTTACTGCATCAGGCGAGGGACGTGGGTTATTAGAACCACAGCTCAGGAACAGGTCTGGGAGACACAGTTAAACAAGTGGGCCTTCAGTGGAGGGGAAGGAGAGGCTGGGGTGGGTGTTGCAGGCGCCGCTGAAATAATAGGTCACTCTGCCAGACTGTTGCTGAGACTATAAAGATTTTCTCATAAAATGAGGTGTTCTTAGCATTTTTTCTTTTCTGTTGTTTCTTTCCTTCCCTCGCTCCCTTCCCTTTTTTTTTTTTTTTTAAGATTTTATTTATTTATTTGACAGAGAGAGACACAGCGAGAGAGGGAACACAGGCAGGGGGAGTGGGAGAGGGAGAAGCAGGCTTCCCGCTGAGCAGGGAGCCCAATGCGGCTCGATCCCAGGACCCTGGGATCATGACCTGAGCCAGCCAAAGGCAGACACTTAACGACTGAACCACCCAGGCGCCCCTCCCTTTTCTTTTTTAACAGATGAGGAAACTGTTATGGAGAAGCAAATGAACTTGCCTAAATTAGTGTCAGGTAGAGAGCTGATCTCTCATCTGTTAATGTGAGTTCAGAGCCTGGTCTCCTAAGCACCGTGTCACACAGAGTCTCAGTCACCTGCTCCGGGATGTAAAGTCTGAGTCAGCCCTGCTCAGAGGCTGCCCTGAGCCAAACCATTACCTTTCTGATTCTGGAGCTAGAGAGAGTCCTTTTATCGATTCACCCTGAGATCAACTTACTGTTTGGGGAGTTCAGCCACAACACGGTGTACGCAGCATGAACTTGCAGTAGGCTCCTGAAGGTTCCTTTTATTTTGTACCTCAATGTAGATCATTACATTGTAGATCTTATTAAAGTCATCTTTTTATATTTAGCCTCTTGCTCTGGCCTGTCAAGATCTTTTTAAATCCTTACTAACAGCAGATTCTTCTTTTTTTCCCCTTCTTTTTTAAATCCAATACAACATGCAATGAAAACCACAACTCTCTTAAAAGCCCTCCTGTTTCCGAAAGCTCTGACACATTCAGCAAAGATCTATTCCTCAGTGTCTGTCTGCGCTATGTTTATTTTCTGCTTTGCCGATTCATGGAGTCTAACTGTACCCAAATGTGCCTTTAGACGGCAGACTCTTCAGGGCAAGGGCTCTGCTCTTTGTTTTGGCACATGGTACCTATTACAGAGCTCAGTATGCACCTGGGGCTCCAGATAAATAATAACAATCCAGGAGTATTTCTCACTTGGAGAGCTGCACGGGCCTTTCCGGGCAGTGTGTTAGCTTTCTTTAAAGAATATCCGAGTGACCGATTTTACCTTGACATTGGGTGCCCATCTCTCCGCACCTGTCCCACCTGCTGCCTGGCTCGTATCTGCTGCTTTATTGTTTGCTGTTTCCGCACCACCCTTAGGAGCCATTCCTGAGAAGTAGCACTTTGGCTTGCAGATCATGCCCGCATTTATGAATGTTTTGGTTCTGACTCCAGCCAGGCAGCATTCTTCCCCCTTTCCCTCCGCACCCTGTTAGTGCTGAAGTGTGAATCCCGGATGCTTTCCAATGGACAGAAGCCAGAACAGGAGGAGGTAAAGAGGTGGGAGGGGACAGTTATTTGATTTTTGGCAGTAAAAACAACTAGCCGAAGCTGGAGTTTCACAGATTTTAACAAAATAGTCTTTGATTTTGGTTTCTTTCTCTCCCTTTCTCATGAGGAGCTGGAAATGGGGGGAGGGGGAAGATTACAGCTTTTTTGTTGTTGTTAGCTTTGAAAAGAATAGTTTAAATATGGTTAATATACATGTTATCATTTTCAAAATATAGAACAAAAGAAATCCTGGTTGGCTCCAGTGGATCTGGAAGCAAAGTCGCCTCCTTTGGCTGCAGCCAGATTAGATCACTGTAATTCTCTCAAGTGGGACTTTTGCTAACAATTCAGGTGGATCTTTTGGAGGGACCAGGATTCAGCTGAGAGGAAGGTGTCTTACAGCCATGAATCAACCACTTGTTCTCAGATTTAGAATAAAAAAAATTAACTTTTAATCGTCGCACTTTTAAGTTGCTATGGCATAAGGAGGGCTTGCTTTTTAACAGACCGACCCCTCAACCCTTGAATTACCTGGCTCCGTCTCATACCTTCGGGCTCTTCTTGGCAAACCAAACTCCATCATTAGATAGTGCCTATATTCTCTGTCAGATGGTCCTTTTGAACATCATGCTTACATCTCATTCACTCACCTCCAGAGTAGTCAGGTCAAAACTTGTCTGTCTAGGAAACTACTGTTATCCTGTCGTGTGTGATACATGTAATTGATATTAACTGTATGGTCATAGCATTGTTGTTCCAAAGAGTAGCTTTATTTCTTGACTTTATTTATTTATTTACTTACTTATTTTTACTATGAATGTTTTATTTAATCATTTTTATTTACAGCTGAAGCTCTGGAAGCTCTAAGTTAACATCTTTGCCCACGAGCTTCTTCTTGACTGACTTTAATTTCTGCCTTTGAGTCTTCAGATTTTTTTTTTTTCTTTTCAGATTAAAGCTATCTGGTGCACTAGGTTCTTGGTCAAGATCTATAAAATGGACATAGTCTAGTTCAGCATTCAACTGTATCAAGACTGGTTTCCCCATGCAAAGTTTCTTCCTGTTTCTCTTCTGCTCTAACTTCTAAGTTACACCGAGTTGAGGGGTAGTTGCTCTTGTGATGTTGAAGGCAGAGAGAAGTCACATCCATTTTCTGCTCTGTTGATGTGCCTGTCGTCTATCCTCCTGCTATGTCTAACACCTTGAGGAATCACACAGAGAAGCAACTGTCCCCTTTTCACCCTCCGGGTGGCTGCATTTGCCTCCTCTTCCTTCCCCCGCTAGGGGTCCCTTCGCAGACAGGCTCTTAGAACCACTCATTGGCTTGTCTTCACTTTGGGCCCATGAGATACCTGTCGTTTCTCCATGCCTGGTTTCTGGCTGATGATGGTGGTGGGCCACTTCTCAAGTCTGTGTGCATATGCTACCACACTCTTGTTTCCTTTGAGTTTCACTGGGGCTGGATAGGTTTGCATAGACTGCCACTCTCCCTAGAAAAAGTATTAGCAGCTCTCTCTCTCTCTCATCCCCCCCCGCCCCGATATCCTAAACATTACAGGAGAAACTCTGGTACCCTTCCAGCCCCAAGTTTGGCCAGAGCTGAAAAAGAGTAAAAAATTTCCCATTGCTCATTTTTTCTATCTTTTAATCTTAGTTGGATTCCTCCATCTGTCCTCTCCTCATATATTCAAACCCTTTTGGAGTGGCAGTAGGCGGTGGTGTTGGGCCTGGGGAGATAGGGTGGGGACCAGCTCCCCTGCTTTGGATATATGTACTGGTATCTTCTTTCTTACACCTGAGGTCATTTATCTCAAGGTGAGGGCTTGGGCATATCTTTTTACTGCTTCCTACATGTAATATGTCAACTCTGTTTATTTTCAGATTTAGAATTAAAAAAAACCCAACTTTTCACTTCCTCCCTTGGGTTGATGTTGCCCTGATGACGGGAACAACTCCTTGCCCATGACACATGGTAACTCAGTGTCTCTAGGTCTGGATGCAGATGTTGCCTGAATATTTTATATTTCTTCCTGCTTTATATGTGTATAAATGCGTGTGTGTATGTTTGTGTGTGCATTTTGGCAACTAACATAACCAAAGTATTCACACAAATAACAAATTTCTTAAGTAAAAAAAAAAATTGTACTATTAATGATGCCAAACATACTACTTAAGAATATCAACTATGATGTCACCTCAAGAACCATACATAAGAAAGGATCAACATAACATTTTTGTTCCTAGAAGAAAATATGCATGACTATATCAAAGCAGAACTATCATAATTAGTTGTATGTGAATATTTGATTACATTTTGCTGTTTTAGAGAATCTGGAAGCAAGACAGCAATCTTCCTGTAATACTGGGCTGAATGGTGCTGGAGCTGGGATGGGCATGTGTGGGGATGCTGGGATGGAGGTCTGGTGGGCAGGAGCAGTCGATGCGCAGAGAGGATTTCATCCTTACTGTACATGGTTTCACCATGTAGCCTTCGTTTAGTTTGATCATTTGAAATGAAGTCATATTAATCATATGCTTTCTTTGGGAGGCACTTAAGGAAGTTTAATTGCTCAAGTTATTAAAATCCAGAGAGGATAAACTAGAAGGAGAAATATATGGTAACATGATATCAATCCAGTTACTAGAATCTAGTCTTTGAACTGAGGGAGCAGCTCTGCCAGCCAGGACCAGAGCTGGCATGAAGGGTGTTTGGGCACAAAACATACTCTAGGAAATGTGTGACATCATCCCAAAGACACAGATCATAGACTGCAACTGAATAGGGACAATGTCTTCTAAACTCACATACATCTGAGCTATGACACCACCTTATACATTTCTTTGTATGTTACAACCTTGGTAGTGTTGAGTTTCAAAGTTGTATTGTTACTATAAACTGGAAAGTATTAAATTTTACTCTAGGAATATGATGTGGAACTCCAATCAGTAGACCCATCTTAAGAAAAATAAAGAGTTAAAGAAATAGTTTAAACTCTTGGCTGTATAGCAAAATATACGATATTAAATTTGTGATTATGTGCTTTAAATTAAAACAAATGTTTAAAGTATATATATATATTTTTTATGATTACTTGCTTTAATGATGTTTTGATCAACTCACCAAAAGTTGTACTGAATTTCATTTAGGAAAATATCATATGGAACAAACTGCATTTAACCTTTATTTATTTATTTATTTAAGATTTTTAATTTATTCATTTTTTTTAAAGATTTTATTCTTTTTTTATTTATCTTTTTTCTTTTTCTTTTTTTTTAAATTTTTTTTATTTAAAGATTTTATTCTTATTTACTTGACAGAGAGAGACACAGCGAGAGAGGGAACACAAGCAGGGGGAGTGGGAGAGGAAGCAGGCTTCCTGCTGAGCAGGGAGCCTGATGTGGGACTTGATCCCAGGACCTTGGGATCATGACCTGAGCTGAAGGCAGACACTTCACGACTGAGCCACCCCGGCGCCCCTTATTTATTCATTTGACAGAGAGAGACACAGCGAGAGAGGGAACACAAGCAGGGGGAGTGAGAGAGGGAGAAGCAGGCTTCCCGCGGAGCAGGGAGCCCGATGCGGGGCTCGATCCCAGGACCCTGGGACCATGACCTGAGCCGAAGGCAGATGGCCAACGACTGAGCCACCCAGGCGCCCCTGCATTTAACTTTTAAAAGCAAACTTAATGCAGGTGAAGTGTGGGGACATAGTCAACGGAGGCAATAGCAGATTCTGCTTTTCCTTATCAAATTCATTTTAGAGCTATGCTTGTTGAGTAGAATCGTTTAATAAATTATGGTTGCATAATGTAAATTATTTTTTCTTATGCTCACACTTAACTCTTTTTCTCCCTCTTTTGCTGAGATTATAGAGTTAATTTCACATTAATTAAGCACACATTTACACTTTATTGTTATCTTCTCCTCACAGATGAAGAAATAAAGCTTAGAGCAGTTGAGAAACTTGTCAGCTTCTCAGAGCTTTAACAACCATGGAGAACATTTTGAAAGCAAGCCCTGGGGAATGTTTAGGCTTGCATCGGAGGCTGGGAGAGCTGTCTCCCTCCGTGTTCCTTATCCATTTCCACCTAGCTATTTGCTCAAAGTCAAAACACAGTAATCATTCTTGATTCTCCCCTCTTTCTCTCCTTCCACACAATAAATATTTAAAATCTATCTATTTCTATAGTTTAGGCCATCGTCATCTCTCACATGGATATTAAAAATATGTTAATAGCAAATGTGTGTTTAAAGCACTTACTAAGCATTATACCAAGCACCTGACTTATACAGACCTATATTTAATTCTCACAATCACTCCTTGAGGGAAGTGCTGTTGTTTTTCTCATTTTAAAAACAAGAAAACTAAGGCACTCTTAGATTCGAGGCAAAGATAACACAGTATCCTTCTTGATTTTCCTACCTTAGTTTTGTTTTTTCCAGTTCACTTTCCACAGCACAGCTAGAGTGATAGTTCTAAAATAAAAATCTTCCTATATTGTTCAAGATGTTAAAATCTTTTTTTTTCTTTTTGGCATCTTGCTGCCATTTGGGGTCCATATTTTGTACCCCTTTCTCATGGGGCCTTACCCATGTAAGAATAATAACTGATGGAAAGTTACTGGTGGAAGTTGGATATCACACAAGGATTGGTGGAAGTGGACAGTTGTCTGGACCGACACCTTCTTGGTGCCTTTGGCAGGCGATGTTCTAAAGATGACTGCCACAGTATCTCTCTTCCCACATGGTCTTCTTACAAAACCACACTGAGACGTGCTCCCTTCCCGTGAATCTGGATGGGCTTATAACTGTGGTCACTCTGACATTGTGAGACTTCCAAGGCTAGATCATAAAGGTGATATGGCTTCTGCATGGATCATTGGAATCACTGCTCTGGATCTCTGTGTAAGCAATCAAAATGCCCCAAGGCCACTGGGTTATGAGGAAGCCCTGTCTAGCCCTGGGGGAGAGACCACGTGGAGAAACCCTGGGACTACTAGACAGAGTTGGCCGGGCAGCCACCAACTGCTCCAGAACCAGTCATTGTCTGACTGTAACTGCATGGGAGACCTTGAAACAGCCAGTGATGGCCTTCCCAGATAATGACCCAGAGAGATGACTGCTGCTGTTCTAAGCCATTAAAGTTTGGGATCATTTGTTACACAGCAATATATGACTGGAACCGTGTCTTGCAATTTATAGCCCTTGAGAGTAACTGTGTGCTTGAGGAGGACAGGCTCAGTGTTTGGATCCCCAGTTTGTGCTGGGAACGTGGGTCTCCTGTCTTTCCAGGCTACCATATTTGGGGTTTATGTTGCCTGGTGCTGAGCTACAACCTTGACTTTGCGATTCTAAAAGGTGAGTGGCTAAGACAATTGTGTGCACTTGAACTGTGTTTCTTACTGAACTTTCGGCATCTTGGTGTGTCACAGGTGATGAAACACACATTTTATCCATTGAGGACTCTGCCAGCTATCTCCTGCCTTCATGCAGTGGCTTGGCAGGGAGACGAAGTCGCTAGATGTACTCACCCCGACCCTCATCCTACCAGCTCCCTGTCAGGTAGTTCACGGGTGTCTCCCTCTCCCCTCCCAGCTTCTTGACAAAAGTTTCCAGTAGCAGTGGGGTGCTGATCCTTTTGCTGGAACACTTTCCACGGTGCATCCACTGGGCTGGCCAGCCACATTCTCTGCGTGAGCTCGAGGAATTATAGGCACTCCTTTGCCACTCTGCCTGGGTGTTTCTCAATAAATCTCACTTTAGGCTTACACTTTGTGTCACTAGTGGTGTCTTACACTGTTTGTCTGTCTTCTTACAACAAGAAGTAGGGTTAATGGCCAACACATTCTATGGATTTAGTCCGTCCGAGCTGGATGAATAGTGACAGAATGGGGAGGGGGCATCCCCTTCCTAGTTAGCGTGAGAATACTTCATCAAAAATATCTCACCCAATATTAGGATGCCTGTCTCTCTGCTTGATATTTTACCATTAGAGATTTATGGAATCAAGATGGTGCATGTTTTCAAGGACCCCAGAGTTCAGACGGGGAGACCGACAAAGGAGCTGGCACCTACAACTCAGGATGAGCACTTCCACAGTAGGACGATGTGCAGGGCATGTTGGGAGGGAAACTGATCTCAGGGGAGGCAGGGGAAGTCAGGGACATCTGAGGAAGCCATAATGTCAGAGTTGAGATCTGAAGATTGAGATGGATTGGCCAGGTGAAGGGAAGGAAAGGAGGGAGAAAGCCTGCCTCATTTCAGAGATTGAAAAACCACTCTGCTTCTGGAGACTGTGGGGGGATGAAAGGAAGGAGAGCAGCAGGATGGGGAAAGAGAAAGTGCAGAGTACAAGCAAACCAGGCAGGGGAGTTGCCCTCTATTTTGAGGGCAGTAAGGAGCTACTTGTCATTCTTAGGCAGAAGAGGTACAAGATGAGATTTGTCTTTTAAGAATATGGCTTTGTCTGTAGTGTAGAGCACTGGAAAGGGCTATGCTGGTCATCCAAAGGAAAGATGCTGGTGGCCTCGAAATGGGAAAAAGTGGACATGTTTTAAGATGCTTTTCGTGTGACCTCAAGAATATTTTTTTACCCTCAACCTCCTTAATTCCCAGTTCCCTAACCCCAAACACCTTGTTCTATCCTGCTAGTCTTTAAATATATCAGCTCTTGAGCAGTAGCAGACAGCACAGCCCTTTTTCCCCTCCACAGTTTTTCCTGTCTGTAATGTTCCTTGTCTTCCATATTTGGTAAACTGCATCCTTCTCATCCTTCAAGACCCATCTCCTCTCTATTTTCCCTGACTTCCTCAAGAAATACTATTTTCTCCTTGATACTTCAGTAGCTCTTTTTTCTCTCGTCTGTTATGTGTATTGTATGCTCCTGTTTTCCCCTTCAGATCTACTCTCTCATCCTGTCCACCCTGCTGGTTGCCTCGGAAGTCAGTCTGAATGGATTCCAATGGACTCTCTTCTCCAAGACTGAATGGATATCGATGGACTTCTCTCTCTTCTCTGGCTTCTCTTTGGGTTGGACATTTTCAGGAGAAGAGAAGAGAGAAAGAGAATAAGTTTGGGCTATTTATTCCCCTAGTTTCCTTTCTGTGAGGTTACTCTAGACTGGTTGCCTCCCCAGCACAGGTTATACCCAGTGATGCACTGGGAAATGATTAACCACCAACCTGAGGGATGGGGAATCCCTGATTTGTAGTGTTTGCCCATTTCTGTGGTGTAAATACTCCTACCATGACCAGTTTCAAGAAACCAGTGTGATGTCACTAACTGGGGGGCTGGGTCATGATGTACACTTTTCCCTCAAAGTGGCACAAGTCAGCTCCAGCACCTCCCGGTTCCAGTCTTTCCTTGTAGATAATTGTATCTGTTTTTCCCCTAGCCCTTCAGGCCTGTGAGGAGGGCTCTGCCACAGTTTTTAGCCCTGGGACACTGCACTATGTTCTGTGGCTTTCTTCACAATACCCATACCTTTGAAAATAGTCCTTTTATTAGGCTGTCCTCAGATTATCCAATTTGAGGTACCATCTGTTTCCTGATGAGATCCTAATTGATTCACCAAGCAATACCGTGTTGAAATTAGTCATTTAGAAATCTTTCTCCTGCTGTATTACAAATACTTAGAGTGCAGGGATTATGATTTATTAATTTTTTATCTCCAACACCTAGTCAGTAGAGGGTGAGAAGGGAAAGAAGAACTAATTTTCATCGAATACCTACTATGCACCCGATATTGTGTCAGATGCTTTAGAAATATTTTCTGTTCAATCTTAACAAATCAAATTAATTCTGGGGAGGAATTTTCTACATTTATTAGCCACTATGACTTTAATTCCAATTTTATTCCTGTTTTCTTTTATAGCAATAATTTTATTATTTAGTTAGTCATCCTCTGTCCCTCTCCCTCTCTCTCATTATCTATCTGTCATTTGTTTACCATCTATCTATATATCGATAACTACTAAGGATAAAAGCTGCCCAGTGTCCAATATGAAGGTACAAAAATAAAACAATCCCTACATCATACTTCTGTCTAGCCTTCTATT